GTCTGAAGTCTTTCTTTGGCCCCTCAACAACATATGAAGAAAAAAAAACAGAAATTATTTTGATCAAATTAGCGTGCAATAACTCAAAAATATATTTTGGTGTAGTCTTCTACTGGCTGTTATCAGGTATATCTGAATGTGTACAACAGGGGTTTGAGCAAAGCTTTTACCACTGAATGATGCAAAAAGTCTCAGATCCAAAAGACTTCAGAAACCGTGTGTATCAAATTTGATACATTTGGCATTAAAGGGATGTATATACAGACATACATATATATATATATATATATATATATATATGTATATCTATATATACAGTTTGCAAAGGTTTTGCAAACTGTGGATATATCTTTTTACATGATTTTAATTTTCTATTATTACATAAAGAATTTTACGGTTATATTGTCCTTCAGTCCAGTTTTTTTCCTTCCGTTTTTACCTTTTTACATTTATATGTATGCTACATGCTACCAGGGACCTGTCCTGGGTGCCTCCGCCCCTGGGTGGGCTCCAGACCCCCCCCCCTCAGGATGGGTGGTTTCTTGCAAAATCCCCGTAATGATCAGTAACTAAAGTGAACCACAAGGGGGAAAAAACGGATCACAGATTTTAAAAAAGATCTATTTGTTTGGTGGGCTCTGCTTTCTTTCGGGTTCCCCGATTGTGTCCCAGGGTTAACTGATGCCGAATGCGTGTGACCTGCTAAATATTAACCGCCAAAATGATTGATTGGGACGATCTTATCAGCCACCGGCTTCAATATTGGTGAAAGATAGCATCGGTGGGTGGATTAGAAAAGCTTTTCCCTCTGATTACTTTTTCCAAATGACTCCAGCCCAGTTGAATATTCAGGCTGTGGGAGTCGATACGATTCCAGGTCCGTCCAGTGGAGACGTTGCGTTTAAGTGGGGGGGGTGAAAAGGAAAAGGGAACATGCTGGTGCTCTAAAGCAGAACCAAACTAAATAATAGATATGTATGCGTCAGCGTAGCCTCTCAGTCATGACCACAGCACTCACCTGGTTCCCCATAGAGAGATAAACGAGGAACGTCGGCACAAAGAGGGGTTGGGGGGGTAATAAGTATGCATGTATGACCATAATTACAAGCGGGAGGGGGGGTGGGTGTGAGAGGGGAATACACTTAGGGCTATTAGCTGCGGTCTGACCGAGACGCAGGGCAGCCCATTAGCTAACAATGAGAAGACAAGTGTAGTGTCCATCCGTCTGCACGTGGCCACTACCCCCCCCCCCCAACCCCCCCCAGCCCGCGTTTCCCAACCCATTAGGCTCAGCTCAGTCATATTTCTTACCCCCTGGATGAGCAGATCAATGAAACCCGCTGGCCACTTGTGTATCTGAGTGGGGACGTGTCGTGGGGCTCATCCTTACCTCAGCAGTGTGGGGGGGGGTGGTGGGGGGGGGGGGGGGGGGGGGGGGATGAGTCAGTTTCCACAGCTTGGTTATCGATCGGCTGCTGGTGAAGGGCACCGCCCGCTCTTGCCCATTTGCATGGAAATGATCTTTCGGGCCTTTCGGAGGATCGGTCCCGTTATCGGGGGGTCAACAAAAACACAGAGGCAGATAGCAGGTCACATGATCGGGCGTCCGCGTCTGGCATTTGCTCTGCTCCCAAACGAATCTGGATAACATTTTCCTGTTGCAAATTAATTTCAACCGGAGAAGAGACGGAGCTGTTTTTTTTCTGAAAAAAGCCATGTGCGTGTATGAGCCTTCTATTGAAATTCCGCTCAGGGTTCAATTAACCGCCGTCTGCCATTTCCCATCAGAGATTAGCCTCCTATTCAAATAAAGCAAATCAGCTGCGAATCAAAAGGCAGAAGTTAAATTCTCCACTTTCTCCACTCAAAATAGCAACACCGAAAGTCTCAACTCTGGCCGTTAAACCACCCAAAACCTGGATATAAGGCCAAAGTGCCTCCACGTTATTAGTTCTGAGAAGATGGCTGATGATGGTTGATCTTTAGTCTCTGCTTGGAAGGCTTCACCTCTCCCTGATCGGGGCCTTTGGTCTTATCTGTGGACTCCGAATCATGTGTGAAATCCCTCAGGAACACGCATGACACGTTGGATTAATATGACACGGATGAGAGTTGACGGTCCAAATCCTGCTGTAGCAACAGAGCTTCCACGAAAAA